AGCAGGAAAATGAAACTTATCGCCGTCTTTTTTTTACCGACCTCAAAAAAGTTATCGTGCAATTAATTGATTTATTGTCTATCGCGACAGGCCTAGGACCACGTATGCCTCTGGCCATTTAATGAAATAATCCATAGCCACAAGCACGTAGCAATTCCCCTGGTCTGTGACAAGAAATGGGCCCAGGACATCTACACCCACCCTTTCCATAGGGGCACCAAACTGGTATTGCTGTAGTGGCACTCGCGGGCACTGAGTTGGCCCCTTTCGTGCAGTGCAGGTATCACAATGATGGACAAACAACTCTGTATCCGGCCAGCATCCTGGCCAATAAAACCGCACCCGAAGTCGATAAAGGGTTTTGGAGATGCCGGAGTGTCCTGCTCCACAGGTTCCATGTACCAGTCGGAGTATCTGCTCTCGAAGCCACAGAGGTATGAGTAATTGTAGTGTTTTTCACTGTCCATTCGGTGCCACCCACCATCGATAGAGCAACCTATCTCGGAGCTGGAGGTTCTGCCACTGGGAGTGCAGTGCCTTGGTCTCTCTGTTGAGGGCTGATACATCTGCCCAGGCTGGCCGTTGCTAAGACTCTATCCAAGCATGAACCCTGGCAATAACTGGCTCCTGACGCTGGAGCTGCTGGAGTTGTTGAGGTTCAAGGCTCTCCACTTCCTCAATGTTAATGCCATCTTCCAGCAGGTGGGAGGCCCGTACACTGTGGAGTTCTTCAGCCCAATGACAGTGTCTGCAACCCCCTTTGCATGGTCTCCTGGAGAGGGCATCGGCGTTGGAGTGTAGGCGGCCAGCCCAATGCCTCCCTTCAAAGCTGAAGRCCTGCAGTACTTCAATCCACCTGGCTAGCTATCCTTCTGGTTCTTTAAAATTCAACAGCCAGGTGAGTGAAGCCTGATCAGTCCGGAGAACAAACGGTTGGCCATAGATGTAGGGGCGAAACAGATGAAGACCCAAGACCACAGCCAGCAGCTCCCTACGTGTGACACAGTAGTTGCTTTCTGGTTTGTTTAGTGTACGACTAGTACGCAACCACTTGTTCGCCATGTCTGCTATCCTGGGAAAGCACTGCACCTACTCCCACATCGCTAGCATCCGTGTCAATGATGAAGGAGCGGTTAGGATCTGGGTAGGCAAGCACTGGGACTTCTGTGAGTGCACTGCGGAGCTGATCAAAGGTGATGGCACAATCATTTGTCCATTGAAACACCTGGCCTTTCTGGGTGAGCTGATGAAGCCTCTGAAGTACCTGCGGTAATAAGATGCCAGTCCGAGAAAACTGTGCAGCTCATTGATGTTTTCTGGTGTTGGCCACTCACAGACAGCTGCCACCTTTTCTGGATCTGTGGCCACACCTTTTCCACTAATCACATGTCCAAGGAATGCAACCTCYTTGGAACACGACATTTCTTTGGATTGAAACTTAACTCTTCCTGCTTCACAGCCTGGAATGTGTCTCGCAGGTTTTGAAGTGCCCCTTGAACATCAGCAGCATGAACGAGGACATCATCCAGGTATACTACACAGCGATTCCGTGTAATTCCCGCCAGCACCCTCTCTATTAGCCGTTCAAAAGTAGCTGGGGCAGTGCACAGTCCAAATGGTATCACTTTGAACTGCCACAGTCCTTGGCCAATGGTAAAAGCAGCCTTAGGCCGTGCCTCCTCAGTTAACTCCACCTGCCAATAGCCACTGTGGAGGTCAAGTGAGCTGAACCATGGAGAACCCGCAATGTAATCCAGTGCATCATTGATCCTGGGCAGGGGGTAGGAGTCTTTAATTGTGACATCATTGAGGCTCCTAGTCCACACAGAACCGCCATGACCCATCTTTCTTTTTCACTAGGACTGCTGGGGATGCCCATGGGTTGTTGGAGGGTTCAATAACTCCAGCCTGAAGCATCTCCTCCACCTTTTGATGCGCAGCTTCACGTTTAGCAAGTGGTAGGCAGAGGGGGCGTAATCGGATGGATTATGCCTCTCCTGTGTTGATGTCATGCAGAACAAGTTTGGTGTGCCTGCAGTATTCATCTTTTGCAGCAAACACATCAGAAAACTCATCCAACAGTTCTTTAAGTTGCTGCTGTTGTTTTTTGTTCAACCCCAAGCTACTCCTCTTTAACAGTTCTTCCAAAGCCTGCTGGGTCTCTGATGATGGTGGCTGGACCAGCTGCTGCAATGTGGAAGATGTAGTGATTTCTGGCCACAGGGCTGGTGTGTCCTCTGGGTGGGAGAGCACTGTATCTCTTGTTGGGGTGGAAGGGGGCAAGCTAGGGTCTCTCACTGCTCCCGGTGGTGTCTTTATGGCAGCTGWAACCAGTAGCGGATGCTGGTCTTACAAGAAGAGGAAGCTCAATTTCGGCCTACGATAAAATGTGTTGGTTTATAAATTCTACCCTCCGTTCCTTTTCAAGAAAATGATCTGTGACCCTGTCACAGACCTTTTTTCAGTTTATAGTATTTATTCATTTCATTTAAAAAAACAAAACATTACATAWAACAAAACAATACAAATAAAATAAAATTAAAGGCAGCAGCAGAAGAAAAACCTTATATCTGCTCCTATTTACAAAAATATTAATAAACCAAATAATAAAACGAAAAAATTCAACTCCTCAAACAGTGACTCATACAAATTAAACAATTACATATTTCTTTAACAACTTTGCTTTGATCATTTTTTGAAGMAATTAATTGATCCAAGGCTTTTATAATCATTTTCCAGATTATTCTATAGCCTTTTACAGCAGCCAGCTCACTTTGTCATACCAGGACAGCTGAAAAGACCTGTTATTCCCTACTGTGGGGATAAAAAATTTTTTATCTTACTTTTACCCACCTTTTGCACCAGATTAATCTGAGGAGTTGATCTGTCCTGTTGTTTAACTCTAAGTTTTCCTTCATAAGGAAGACTAGCAAATGGCTTTGCCAAAATCRGGTCCACAACATTCAATCTTTCTGCCATTATGTGCAGCTTGCTACCTAGCTAGCTCACTAGCTGGGACTGGCGCAAGGCTAGTGTGAAATGTGTCCGCCTGTGTGAGTGCTTTATGACTGTGAAGGGGCTCAGCAGCCCCCGCTGGACAGAAGTCAGAAAGAGTGATAGAAATCTGTCTCCAAACACAAACAGCTACAAAACAACCACTAGAAATAGAAGCTCGATTTGTCGCTAGTCGTTTTTAACAAAGAAAATGCTGCTAAAAGGATTAATAAAGTCTCCAGTTCAACTCAGAACAGAAACGAAACTAAAAATAAGCTCCCATGGATTTTTACACCAAAAGATCGCTGATTCGCTCATTTAGCTGTCAATCAAAAAGGGATTCAACCTCCGACAGATCATCCAATCATCATGCAGAAGCTGAGCGACCGAGCCAGCTGAGGCCAGCCCACTTCCCCATAGACCCCCAGAGACGCTGAGCATCCATGGGCGGGACAAAGCCCAGCATTTATCCAATGACTTGTCTCGTTTTGCTGCATTCTTTGCATCGCTAATGAGCTCTGTGGAAGCTCAGAGTCCACACTGTTTAAAGCACTGTGAAGCTGCGGGAATGAGTGAGAGGAAAGTCACGTCGTTACTGTGATAAAAAGCTGATTCTGAACAAAAGTTGAGTGCGTTGTAGTGCAAATTTAGTCAATAACGTACTCACAACTATTTGATTCATTTTTTTTCCATTTTAGGGGAAGCTGAGCTTCCCTTGCAGACTTAGAGCAAATCCCTCTGGCTAAAACATTGTTCTGTTGGCTGGGACCCTTCCCATTGAATGTCTTGGGATCCACTGTTTTGGTCCCCAGGCAGAGCGTGCATCTATGTACATCTATCACAGCTCCCCACTTCACCAATAAGTCAAGCCCAATTATGCAGGCATCTTGGATGTTCATCAGCAAAAAAGGTGCTCAGTGCTATGGCCTGCCACTGCAACCTTCAGCAGACCTTTCCCCTGTACATTTGTTCACTCACCAGTGATGGTTGTGATGCTCTCTGTAGTGGGGTTCCAAACTTGAGGGCTTAAATTGTCCATATTAGCTAGAGTGTCAGGGTGTACAATGGAAATGGTGGATCCAGTGTCYACCAGAGCTTGGCAAACAGAACCATTGAGGTTACAGGTGATGTACAACCCCTGCGTCCTTCCCAGCCGTCCCAGTCTCGGTGTGTATGTTAAGGAGGTCAAACAACATTCATCAGGTGACAGCCCCTCCCGTTGCCACCCCATTCTAGTTTAACTGTTCCATGGGTGGTGAATTGCATGGAGCTGGGGCCAGACAGAAACATGCAATATGTCCAGACTGGCCACACATATAACAATTCTCTGCTGCTTGATTCCGATGGTGACAGCGTGAGGTTGATGGAATGGTGGTGTGGCGAGCAAACTCCTCATCATTGCTCCCATAACTGACTTGTCTTGCTTGATGTTTGTCAATGTTTCGATGTCCTTCAGGGCACAGCACATGCTCAACTCACTCTGCTTCACCTAAGGCTATTGTCATTGTGCTGGGAGACAAGGGGCGGACATGTTCACGGAGTCATTCTGGTTGGAGTCCCTGAGTTAAGGCTTGGACAGCTAGCTCCTCTTGAATCCATCCAGGGAATTCAGGGTAGCTCAGGCAGGTTAGGGTACACAGGTCAGCAGCATATGCTCCCAAACTTTCACCAATCTTTCTACTTCGTTTAGCTAATTTGTCTCTGGCATCATCAGCAAATACATAACAACCAAAATGCTGTTGGATGGCATTCTGCAGTGTTCGCCAGTCCTGTAACTCCTCTGTTTGGAGATAAGTTAGAACTTGAAGAGCTTTACCTTCAAGAGCGAGGGCCACATGTCCTCCAATAATCTCATCTGACCAGTTGTTGAGTTGTGCTGCAAGCCGAATTTGGACCAAAAAAGCATCAGCTGGCTCTTCTCCACCATAGCAAGGTAACTTAATCACAGACTGCAGTGGACTCTGCATCCTGTTGGTGGTGTAATCTTGAGTATTAGCTGAATTAACCATGCCCAGGCTACTAGCTTCTACCTCTGGAGCAGGGCATGGCGTTGAAAGTATCGGAACTGGTGGTTGCTTTCGTCTGCGGTCAACAGGCCGGGAATCACTTCTGCCATCTGGCTGATGGCTGCTCCCTCTGAAGCTGGATTTCAATGCTGTGCCGAGATCCATCTCTGCTTCTTCCTGAAGATCAGCAATCCTTTCAAGAAGAGCTTCAAGTTTTGTTCTTCTCATGATCCCACTTCTGACACCAGTATAGCAACTGTTGCTAGCAGGAAACATGACAGGATCAAGTCTCTTCAATGTCAGATTTTATTTTCTTCTTGAACACACCCCTTAAATGAAAATACCTTCCCTTTATGCAGCCAGGAAGCTTATTTCACTCATGGTGCAATTTTTACAGTCAAACTCCAACACAGTAATCAGATTGAACTTAAGAAGAACATCAAATCTACCAACATTTTGACGACAAC